GTATGCTATTTTGTGAGCCACTCTCATTTCATCTGGGCTAGTTTCACATCAGAAAAACGAAGTGGTAAATGACCATTCTACATAATAACTTTTACTCAAATGCGCGAGATTGTGCATCACTAAATAACATCATATTCCGCCGCACACGCGAAGTGCTTCTTCCTTGCAGTCTGAAATCTTGATATCATCCGAAATCGCTGAACTCCCCACAATGGTAAAGAGAAGAAGCTAAAAGAAATAACAAAAAACATATTGATAACGGGATTCAAGATGAGGCTCAAACTTTCCCCTATATTGTTCCAAAAATTGTAAGGGATGTCAAAAACAATGCCGCTGTTTCAATTATTGGTGTCATGCATTTGCCCGAGTTTAACTATGCGTGACTGCTTTCTAGGTCATAGGTGATACATATCTCTTGACAAAACAGTTAGTGGAAGAGCAGTTTTCGGGTATCGCCTTCCTCCAAACACATTGGCTGCAATGTGTAAAATATCGCAAAAAACGCATGTAGCTGCGCAGACACGCCAATTGTCAGGCGGAAGCCCAACTTCGGTAGAGCGCTGAAGTCATACTGACTTCATTCATGATGTGGTGAAAAGATGGTGGAAGTTTCGCCGTCAATAATAATTGTTCGCACATAGCCCATGGCATAGGACCATTTGGCTGTTGGCTTGATGGTATCAGCCTTGTTGTAAGGCGGCCGACAGTCGTGTAGTGACATGGCACGGTTAGATTCCTTTCGTGCTCTTTGAACAAGGGACCGAGGCAAAATGGATCCGTTGAATCAGGACAAAGTCAGATTAAAAATCCATCCCAGAAAAGTTTTTGTTTTCCGCATTGCCTCTTATTTTGTTGCCATTGCCTCTGAGCTGGACCTATCATCTGAACTAACGATGCCGCTCCCCAAAAAGCTGCTCGATTTATTTTTTTGATACAGCACAGCAATGCGGATCTCAACTTCAAGTATAGCAATGCAATGTTCGTAGGCCTACATGGACAGAGGGCCAAATGTCGCTTAGCATAAGAGTCTCTACGAGGCCGGTGAATCAGTACGGTCAATATCATAGACAACACAAAACAAAAAGTGAAATATAGAACAGTTTGCCCCAATATCTAAAATAACCCCTCATTGGAGCAAATAATCTAGAGGTTGCGGCTTCGGGTTTCCCGCTGCGCCTTCCGTGGTGATGCCACTTCGAGGAACGTTTAAATGATATTGTCTTCGTGTTATGGATAGCTTTTTCCTACGGTTTTATAATATTCCGGCCAAAAGTATTGGGGGCCCCAAACAGATATTGGGGGCCGACTGAACATTGGGTGGACAGGGCCCTCACAAAAGAATGCAACTCGACACCCGTGGTTTAAGCCATAAGAGTGGGGTTTGCTGGTGTGCTCGGAAGAAGTTTTGTCCATATGATATATTTTTCCGAGTGCCGAGTGCCTTGCCTGCTGTCTTGCTTTTTGTGTGTGTTGTGTTTCTATACATGTATGTGCAAAGATATGTACCAGTCTGGTGGTGTGAAATAAACTGCATAATTATTATTGGTATCATCATTTTCAAGGTGAACGCGTTTGTAATATGATAACATCGAGGAACTCTCAAGGCAGAAGACAATTCCGTGTGTCCTTTTGAGTCGCATATTGCGTGCGTCTCGCTGCATCCTGCACAGGGGCAGGAAAAGCACCGATGTGTTTGACATCCGTGGGACGAGCAAGACTTGCCCTGTAAACTGTCCCGTGCGCATACGCAGCCCCGTTCTTTGGCTCTTCAGCGTGGAGGCACCAGCGGCAGATCGTACGTTGTCATGGTAACTGCGCCGGCGCCGACGATCAAACTATCGATTCACTGGGATCACCGTGGTTGTGTCGCACGCGCCCGGGGGCGTTGTCGGCGTAAGGCGGCGCCGGCAGCAGGGCTGGCGGCGTGATGCCATGCACTGGGGTGGGGGTTTGGTAGTTAGCGGTTTTAGTTCATGACCCGGTCAGGGGAAGACGAATCCAATGAGTCGTGCTGAGCCTCGTGAGCCGCTGAAGAAAAACTGGCAGCGAGGTCAACATATTGGCTCAAAGCCCTCAAGGTAAGCAGAGTTACCGAGGCTCGATATGTTGGTGCTGTGATTTTTGTGCATTATCTCCCTCAATAAGCAGTCCTGTAGCGCTAAGTGTTTATCTGATTGCTTGCAGCTTTGCTAGAAATCGTGTTCGGGGTGTGCTCAGCGTTCAATAATGCGCTTGTTTAGTAGTTCATCGAGGTCACACAACCAGCCACTGGGCCAAGCCGATGCGTGGATGCCATGCCAAAATCAATTGCCAGGCAGGAAAAGGACGTGCAGCATATGCACTGCAGCATCTACATTGCACGCCGCCCTCGCAGTATTACCTGGCGGAATCACGCGCTATTTACATTGATTATATGAAGGCGAGCCCTGACAAATGTGCCGGTAAGATGGAAAAAGACGGCAACATATCCGTCATCCTGAAAAATCAGCTCTCATATGACATTTCTCTGATAGGTGTATATACAACACGAGAACGGGAGGCCAGGCGATTTCAGCCGGTCGGCCAACAGCGCATGTGTTTTCGTGGCATGGTGTCAAAGGGGGCCTGGGAGCACGCGGTGACTAGCTTGGTTAGGTGGAATGCAGTACAAAAGCCAAGCTCGCCGCTTTTTGTGCGCCATGAACGATAAGAGGACGTCAGTTAGGTCGTTTGCAATGTGATTCCCAACACTGAATTGTGGTAGCAGCGCCGGAAGCACAAGCAAGGCGCATTTACACACAATTTTCTCGTTTCACGTTACACTCTGTTTGCACGCAATTCTTCTGTGACGGGAGCCTGGACAAACCAAACATTATCAGCCGACGTTCAAAGAAGTTGTTGAATCCAATGTCGCATCGCAAACGCAACACGATACACCCACGGCACGGGACTATCGGCCGTCGCAGACAGCGCGACGCGAGCCCAAACACAGCTCAGCGGAGCATTGTGTGCCCCGCGGCTCCGTAGCTGCGGCGCATGTTGCCGACTCCGGCATCGACCTCGCCGGCCTTTCCTGGCAAAGGTCGTAGAAGGTCGCAGTCGGAGCCGTCCCCGCTCCGCTTGACTGGCCAGTGCCAGATTCCAGACCAGACCCGTTCCAGATTCAAAACGGCGTGCTCGTGCCCTACGGCAGGAATACACGTGAGCTGACGACGGGTCGCAGCACGAAGCGCCCGTTTCGCTGGCCGATCGCAAGGGGCCGTCACCGTCGGTGGGCGCAGTCGCAGTCAAGCCCATGAAGCAGGTCATCGCCATCCCTCATCACCAAAACGCAGCTGCAAACATGTTGTACAAACAAGGGCGCGATGCGTAAAGGTGCCGCCTTTTCATTGCGTCCGTGTTGTGATGCATGCATGCTATAGGCGGCAGAGTGACGCTGCGCCTTCGTCACGCCTTCCAACAACTTGTCTTCCAACTTCACGGCACCAAATGGCTTGAGTATTTCCCTGCATGCGGGATTGCACGAGCGTGTGAAACACCGTGGCGTGTAAGCTACGGAAGGCATCTGCTGCACTATGCTTTCCCATGTTAGCGAGGTGTTCGCCTTGGAGTGCAGTGCCACTCAGGATGGCGTTTGAAAACTATCATACAGGAAGCCATTCGAGCTCTTGGAGCCCGTTCTGAGTATGGATCCGTGAAGAAGTCGTGCGGAGCTTCAACACTGTTCTTCAACATTGTTTCAACACGTCTTTGTAAGCATGACATACCAGAACATAATGCTGTTCTCTAAACTTTTGAGTTGTTTTTTCTGGATGACTGTGACCCCCGCCCTCCCTCCCAAACAAAAACAACATGATATTGTGCCTTTCAGACACAAATGGACAAGTGGTGACGATATACACAGGGAGCTAGTCAGCTCGGGCAAGTTATGACCAACATGGAGAAAACGAAACGCAGAGGTACGATTTTCAAATTACTCTGGGGCTTCAGGACGATGTGGCAGCCATCCATTGTCTGATTGCCACGTTTTGTACCAGGGACTTGTACAAGGAAGCGCTGACGCTGAAATTGATGGAAAGTAGGAAGATCCACTTGTCACGGATTGTGTACTTTTAGACGAAAAGAGCTGTGTCTGAAGCAGCCTTGCCTTACCTCTCACCTGCGGTTTTGGACGGCTGCCGCCAGGTGGGTGGGTACCGGCCGGGGCCGTGTTCACTTGCCGCCGGTACCTGCTGTTCGCCGTGCTGCCCGTGGTGGTGCTCCTCTACTGGGTCAACTCGCAGTACGGCGTCGGCTTTCTGCCCGTTCCGCCCGTGTTACGTCTGGTTCAGCCGCAGCGTGAGTGATGCCGGGGCCACGTCGACAGGAGGGGTGCCCAGAGGCCTAGTCGGATCAGGTGTGCACCGACCCTAAGCAGCCCTGCTACAAGAAGAGTACGTGTAGACTGAGTGATCGCACCTATTAACCGGACTAGATTCTTGTGATAAACTTTGGAAAATCATTGCATAGTTAATTTTGTTATCTAATGGGCGTGTTCTTGCGGTCATTTGGTATCCTTTGTGGCGGGCGATTGCACACGAAATGGAAGTGGAATGCGCGTAAAACAATGAAACATGAAACGTGCCTCAACATGCATTAGGTGACGGAGGACAGTAATCCAAATATACATTATCCTCACCAGCGTAGAAGTACAAGACGAAGTGTCACAATATGTGCTCGGAACATTTCATGCTGCAAGCCCCTCATCAAAAAAGGTCCTCGCATGGCCGGTTGATTGAAACGATCGAGCGTCACGCGTCACGGAGCCCCCGCGCCGTCTGCCGAAACCCCTCGGCTGTTGTGACCAACCGTGTCAGCCCCCCCCCCCCCCCGCCGCCACCAGAGGCGCGCGGCCAGTACCTGGTGGACACGCCCACCTGCCGCATTCCCAACGTGGACCCGTTCGACGCCTCGGTGCGCGAGTTCGCCCGCCCGCCGGAGCCGATCCTGTGCAACCGCGAGCCGCCGCCGCTCAACCTACAGCGACATCGACTCGGTGTACCTGCTCAGGGAGCGGCAGCACCTGTACGGCGCCAGGTCAGACGCCGCGATCGATGGCCGGCTGAGGCCTGAGTGGGAAGTGATACCGTGTGGTCTGAAATATCCATGCATTCAGTCCCGTATTGCTGAAACGTTAAGTTTATCTTTGTTTTTGATTGGAGGGTCTTAGCTTTTACTGATGTGCTCGGTGTGCTCGATATAGTACTGATGTGCTCGTTAAGCAGACAGTTGTTGAGGTTTAGATGCATTACAGGCTCCTGACAGGGCATATCGGGGTCAGAGGTCTCAGGTCCCCACAGCACCTTCGTCACCGCCCTACCACCTGCAGCAGGGAAAACCTTTCGATTATTGCACATTAACTGCGTTCCCATTGATTACCACTTTTCAGCGACGACAGGCAGCGATGGGCATCGTTGCATTGCCGCGATTCACAAAGATGGCATAACGCGCTTGATCAGCACAGGCAATATGAAACTAGGCCCACGTGTCCTCTAGCTGCGGCTTGGCAGCAGGACGTGGCGGGATGCAACTGTAGCAAGGGGGAGTGTCACCTGAGAAAATGTCGCTGCCCAGCTGGGAAAATAAGCTTTTTCACAAGCAGTGGCGGCGCCACTAATTTGAGATTGGGGGGCAGGATTTTCCAGCGGGCTCCTGGACAAAGTGGGGCCTCGGCACAGGGGGGGGGGGGGGCCTCTGCGCACTGTCGTGTTCAGGGGGAGCGGCACCGGGGGCGTGTGACCCATCATCAAATGTTTCACATACCATATTTAAGTAGACAGATGTTGACAATTAAAATCCTGAAGTGGGTGTTCTTATTATCCAGCAAAGGGCCTCGCTAACCTAAAACAGGATCTCGTTCCAGAAATGGAACTCCTCAAAACGTTCCGAATTTACGAAGTGGGCTTCCAGATTTAGCCAATGAGCCTCGTTGTCCCGAAACAGGACGTCCTGATCCGGAACTGCGGGACACCTGATGCATGCCAAGGCATTCCGTTCCATGAATGTTCCAGAAATGGGGCCTCCGGCACATAGAGGATACCTCGTAACCCTGAACAGGAACCGTCTTTTTTTGTAACGGGTGTCTGCCGAGCCAGCAAAAGGCCCTTAATATGATAATGGCCACGTGATCTAGAAAATTGGCTTACCTTATCCATGAAGGTGGTCTCATGATGCATAAAAACGGGTCTCCTGATGTAGCGAAGTGTCTTTTGGGCCTAATTATTAGTCTGTAGCTCAGTCATAGGACCTCCTTGACCTGGATTTTACTACTCTACAAGTAGCTACAATGCCTTTAGTGTGTGAAAAACCCAAATAGGGGCCTCCCAAAGTTGGGGGGGAAGAGCACACTCTTGCCTTCTCTGTCCTCCCCCCCCCCCCTCGCTGCTGCGTTGCCCTTGTTCGCGCATTTCGCTGCAGCTGTCACCTTGGCCCTTTGTTAGCTCATCTGCGCGCGTTCTTGGGCATAATGCGGCCAAAATATCATCACCTGAACGATATTTTCATCTCGGGATGTGACCAACTGGCCGGGGGGGGGGGGGGGATCGGGGCCCAGGTGCCCCTCGCGATCAGCTGCCTTGCCCCCGCTCGCGGTGCGCAGAACGGTGGGCTGCGGGAACAATTGAGAGCGATGGTGTGTACCTGCATAAACAGACTCCAGATGTCAGGACTGCACAGCTGGTCCAGCGAAGAGAACTCATCGGTTGACATGGCTGATGACAGGAGTTAGTCCCTCGGAATTTTCGGGGTTGATCGACTTACTGTGACCGTTATTTTTGATTCCATGATGTTGATCATATTGTCTCTTCCCCTTAATTTGTGCTATGCAATGTGCTGATTCCGATGATTGCGTATGTTGCAGGCCACCTTTGACTTCAGCATCCTGCTGTACCCGAGACATAGACTGGATCAACGATCTCAACAGTTCTATCCCTCGAAACACGATGGGCAGAGTACGGTAAGCTTCTGTACGGCCAATTTTCTTCTATCATAAACTATTACAATGCTAACTGAATGCTGGATGCAGCCTTTCCCAGAATTACAAAAATGGTCGTTGCTATAGTAAACGGCAACCCTTGGTCTACCTATGGATGCCGTGTCAAAATGCGTTGGACGCATAATTCACTTTAAGTTACTTAATGGACACGATGCGCGGTATCTCCTTAAGATGCATCCATTTTTGGGACATCTGGCATGTCCTTCATCTCCGAGAGGTGGCCATCACAAACCGTCGGCTGACGAGCAGCCGCGTCCCGACCGCGACCACGTCTCGTCCCGCCAGCGACCGCCGATGCCGCGTCGGCCCTCGCGTGACACTGCCACCTTCCGCAGGAGGTCGCCACGGTGCCGGCCGCTCCTGGGCAGCTACACACCAAGCGCCGACGGCGTGGAGGTGACCTGCGCCGTGAACAAGACGATGGTGTACCGCGACTACTACCACTTCGTGCCGCTGCGGCCGCAGCTGGAGGCGGCGAGTCTGCAGCGACGGCCGCAGGACGTGGCGCCCAACGTGCTGATCTTCATGTTCGACTCGCTGTCTCGGCTGCAGTTTCTGCGCTGGTTCCCGCGCTCGCGCCGCTTCCTCAGCGATCGGATGGAGGCGTTCGAACTCGGCGGGCTCAACAAGAATGGCGACAACACCTGGCCGAACCTGGTGCAGATGTTCACCGGCATGGAGCAGGCCGAGATGAAGCGTCAGTGCGCACCGGATCCCAAGAAGGACCCGCTTGACGGCTGTCCGTTCATGTGGAAGGAGTTCAAGCAGGCGGGGTACCGCACGGCCATGGCCGAGGACGCGCCAGGGATGGGCTCGTTTAATTACCTCAAACTGGGGTTCCTGAAGCAGCCGACGGACTACTACACGCGGCCCACCAGCCTGCTGTTGGATGCCAACATTGCCTACAACAAGCAGCTCAACACGAAACCGAACCTGTGCGAGGGAACGCGATACAGCTACTTCTCCACCTTCAAGTATGCGCTGGATCTCGGCACGCGTCTGGCGGACCGACCGTACTGGGGTTTCGTCTGTCAGAACGTGTTCTCGCACGACTCATTCAACATGCCCTATTTCCTGGACGAGCCGTACTACAAGGTGCTGGAGTCGCTGTTCAGCAGCGGCGCGCTCAATAACACCGTCCTGGTCACCATGGGCGACCACGGCCTGCGCTGGGGCCGCGAGCGGCAGACCTTCATCGGCGGCCTGGAGGAGCGGCTGCCGTTCATGAGCCTGTACTTCCCGCGCTGGCTGCGTCGCCGCTACCCAGCCGCCTTCGACAACCTGCGGGTCAACCAGCACCGCCTGAGTACCTTCCGCGACGTACACCGCACGCTGCTGGACCTGCTGCGGCCGGACGAGACGCTGGGCGGCGTCGATACGCGCGAGGCGGCCGAAAATGCCTCCAGTGTCAGCCTGTTCCGGCGCATCTCGCCATACCGCCGCTGCGACCACGTGCAGGTACCGGACCACTTCTGCACGTGCCTGCGCTCTGAGAAGATCGCGGCAAGCGACGGACGCGCCACGCTCGCCGCTAAGGCCGTGGTGCGCGAGCTGAACGTGCTGCTGCGCGCGGCCCCGCAGTGCGCGCCGCTGAGGCTCCAGCGCGTGCTCACGGCGCGCATTGCACAGCCGCTCAAGGGCGATCCGAAGAAGAGCGCGCCGTTCCTGCGCCAGATGACGACGGTGCAGCTGCAGACGGCACCGGGCGGGGCACGCCTCGAGGCGACTGTGCTCGGCGACGGCCACGAGCTGCACATCAGCGGCAGCGTGTCGCGGCTGGACCGGTACGGCCACCTGGCGTGGTGCGTCAAGGACCACCGCCTCGAGAAGTACTGCCACTGCGGTGGCGCGTCGCGTCACTCGACGGCGCGGCCGGTCCCGCCGACGGCCGGCGCGGCGTCCGACGTGCGACCGCGGCGCCCGACGCGGCGACCGCGACGGGCCCGGCCGTGTCTGGGGCCACGGTGCCAGGGGGAGCTCGGGCGGGTTCGCCGCCGGGGGCTGGAGCGCTTGGGAGCACGCCGTCAGCGACCAAACCACCAGTGGAAGAGGCGCCTGTGACTAAACCGCCGGCGGGTAAAGCGTCCGGGTCTGAACCGCCAGCGAGTGAAGCGCCAAGCCCCAAATCGCCAGCGAGTGAAGCGCCAAGCCCCAAATCGCCAGCGAGTGAAGCGCCAAGCCCCAAATCGCCAGCGAGTGAAGCGCCAAGCCCCAAATCGCCAGCGAGTGAAGCGCCAAGGCCCAAATCGCCCCAGCGAGTGAAGCGCCAAGCCCCAAATCGCCGGCGAGTGAAGCGCCAGGGCCCAAAATCGCCAGCGAGTGAGGCACACAACGTCCAAATCGCCAGCTAATAAAGCATCTAGGTTCAAATCGCCAGCGAGTGGAGCGCCAGGGTCCAAATGCCAGCCAGTGAGGCGCGGAGTAAAACTGCCAGCGAGTGTAGAGCATAGGTCTGAGCCTTCAGCAAATGAAGCGCCTGGGTCTAAACCGCCGGCTGCCAAAACGTCTGTGTCTGAACCACCGGCGATTCTCAGTCACCAGCGACTGAGCCCCGCGAAGCCAGAACGAGCGCCAGTGACTGAGACCGGTGGTGGCCAGCCTGTCTGAGTGCCTGCCGGCCCAGGGTGGGATGCAGGGCGGACAAGCGGCGCTTTGTCCTCCGCTCGCTGGTAACAGGGTTGCACGTGATATGCCGGCTGTTGTAGGATGGACGGGCGGAGTGTTTGGGATGCACTGCGGGGGCGTGGGGATCTGAACAGGGTTGAAGTACGTGGTGAGGGCTCTTGCGTGGTGCTGGAGTGGGGATGATCCTTGATGGCGAGGATGTTTTTGTTCGGGAGAAGGCAGGTTAAGGATTTGGCTTCATGTCCGGTATTGTCGCAGGGGCTGGCCCAGGCCAATGTCAAGTTCCGTTTCTGCCACTGTGTACGGCGCAGGTCTGCTGTCACCCGCCGGTCATCCGCTCCAGCTCACCTGGGTCATCACGGGTGTTCTGCGACCGACTGCAATGGCGCTGGCAAACCTGCGTAGGAAGTTACGCTCAGGCAACTTATTTCGCCAAACGATGAGTGATGGCGTGGATTATGCCAACCGCTCCCGAACTGTCCGCCAAGAAGCTGGTCACCACTCAGCAGTTTCCCTCTTGGTAGAGTTTTGTCACGCTGCGCACGCATATCGATGTCTGGTTTCTCACGTGGGGCGCGGGTAAAGGGTACCAGTGTGGTCACTACGACGACCCCGCTTTTTGCGCACCTTGCTGTAAACGCCCAACCCGCGCCATCCACCACTCACCATTATGCGAGGAGCCCGTCGAACCATATCACATGCCCGGTAGTCCGGGAGGGTAGTGCCGGCCGTGCAAAGCGTTGCGCTGGTTGTGTGAGGAATCGTGAACTTGGTCAGAAGGTTGCCTGAATAACGGTAATTTACTTGCTAGTCTCCTATGAGACCAAAGATGCAGGTCGAGCTTATGCATTCGCACTTTAAGATGACCTCACTAGGGTTTTTAGAGTCGCATTTCCACAGCAGGAAGTCTTTTACGTAATAAAATTATGCAAAACCCAGGTAGATGGTGAGGGACCTGAATTGTTTGGGTGAATTGTTAATATTAGCACCAAACCATGCATAGGATTCAACAGCACCAAACAACATCACCAAGATGAAGGCTTCGAGCGTTGAGGTCTAGTCGGCTGTTCGATGACACCCGCGAGGTATGGGATCTTCTCACGAGCGCTCATCAATAATGATCACGTTTGCTTAGCATTGGCATAACGCCAGCTAAAGCAGCGCGTCGCTGGCGCGTCGTGCACTCGTGTTTTTTCCTGCTATGGGCGGAAATGGTAAATGTGGGTATGTTATAAAGGAAAAAACGGTGACAGAGAACAACCGAAAACAAAAGCTAGAGAGCAACCGCGGAACGCACTCGCCCCTCAGCGCAGAGCAGTCGCGGGGGCCTTGCTCTGCGAAAGCGGTCTGTGGGACCTCCAACAGTAATTTCGGAATGTGAGGTGACCCTTACCATAAATCGCCATAAGCCTGATGTTCGAATCGGTAGTGATCATGGGGTCCAAGCGTGCAGCTGAAAACCAACGGAAACTTCACAGCAATCGCATGCACATTTTGACTGACCAGGCGCAGACGTTGCGCGAGAATGAGCCGGCGAGTAAAGCGCTGGTCACGGCCTGTTGTTGCAGGCCGGTCAATTGCGGGGGCATTTGCGCAACGGCTGGCTTTATCGACCCTCGCCATGCAATTCATTGCCTCGGGCATTTCCTGGACTCGGGCTGCTAGATCGTGTGGCTTAATTCACGGCTGCATGCGTCTGTTGGCAGCTGTATTCCAAAGCGTTGATTACACCGGTCCATAAGAGTGATTTACGTCCAGTGTAGCTACGTCGGTGCACCCACGATTCCGGTGCAGCGGGCTGACCGAATCATAAATTTTACAATAAACCAAAATGGCGCGAGAGCCGAGGGTGGGACGTCGCTTCCTTGTCACTAATTCGAAGTTGTGAAGACCTGAAAGGAGCTGAAGACTATCTGCGCAGCAGAGTTTTCTTTTCCGTGTCAAAACTCGTTGGCTAGACTTTGGTAACACTCATTGGCTGGTTCGCCTCAATGCTGTTGTGGTGTATGTTTTCCGATATATGGCTGCGTCGCAGGAGACAGGTCCAACTATTTAGTCGAGCGTCCTTCATGCCTCCTTGTGACAACTGAATGAGGTTTAATCGAGAGCAAAAAAAAATTGTCACATCAGGCTGACCTTTCTCCGCGATAGTTTTTAGGCCCATGGGTTCCGAGATGGCTCCCTCAGAACAATCGAACTCTGGGAACGTCCCCGTGGCGTCCGTCGATCGGCTGGACGATGCGGTCCTGCATGGACCCGCTGCACGCCGGAACAATGGCGAATCGATGAGGCAGCGTTCGGGACCCGTGACAGTCGGCGCCCTCACACGCAATGCCTACGGAGGTGGCACTCAGCATGCGAACGGGCGTGCGGATCGCGGGACACGGTGGCGGCGGGGCGACGGCCGGAATAGCCAGGCTGTGTCGCAGTCCTGTCGGCGGTCGCAGTCGCAGCCCACACGTGCGGACGCGTGCGGATCGCGGGACACGGCGGCGGCGGGGCGATGGCCGGAATAGCCAGGCTGCATCGCAGTCCTGCCAGCGGTCGGAGTGGCAGCGCGCACGTGGGGACGCGCGGATCGCGGAAAACGGCGGCGGTGGAGCGACGGCCGGAATAGCCAGGCTGTGTCGCAGTCCTGCCAGCGGTCGCAGCGGCAGCCCGCACGTGCGCGCGGACCGCGGGACACGGCGGCGGTGGAGCGACGGCCGGAATAGCCCGGCTGTGTCGCAGTCCTGCCAGCGGTCGCAGTGGCAGCCCGCACGTGCGCGCGGATCGCGGGGCACGGCGGCAGCGAAACGACAGCCGGAATATCCAGGCTGTAACGCAGTCCTGTCGGCGGTCGGAGTAGCAGCGCGCGCGTGCAGACGTAATCGGGACACTTCGCCAGCGTGCTTAGAACGAAATTGTACGGAGGGCTCCAGTCGCTCCCGAAATACCGGTCATTTACCGAAATACCGGAGTTTGGGTGGATGAAACTACAGAGACCGGCTGTGGTTCATTCATGTTTCAGCTTAGCTGAGCAGTTCCAAGTTGTCCTGTTCAGCATTTTAACGACAGATAACCGCCAATAAGAAACTTGCTTCCACACGACGACGGAACGACGGTATTCTCCTCAGCACGCTTGCAATCCTTACATCACGCAGAAGTGACGAAACAGGCTGACTTGAGGATAGCTTGAAAGTTCTTGGTCGGCTAGGATCTGGCGACCTTTTATCGTGCGGCCTGCTGTATCCGCTGCTCTTCTGCTTTCCCCGCCCGGGGCTGGTGTATAACAGTTGCCCAAAACATGGAGTAAAATTCTTCCGCAGGTGCCGAGCTGATGTCACACTGCGGAACGGTGGGGGTGCCTAGAGGGCCGCGCAGCGCAGAAGCCGGCGCTGTATGCTCCCTTACCCCCATAGAAATGTAATCAACACAGCTCTAGAAGCTTACAACACCATGCGGTGTTACGCCACTGAGGTATACGTGCTGAGGCAGGCTGCTAGGACAGGACCGCCATGGACTTGCAGCCTACTAAGATGTCAATCCCGGTGGTGCTTTTCCCAGTCCCTCGAGATGCCGAGATCTTACAACTTATAATTCCTCGCTGGGAGATGGTCCGACATATAACGGGATCGTTTTTTTTTTCTCGTGGAATCGGTAGCCTAGTTGGTTGGGTTGAAGCGCCTGTACTCGGATTTACTCACCCTTGGCAAGGTGGGCTCGAGTTGTCTTAAAGGGAATGTTCCGCATTTGAGGATATTGAAGCAAGGTCAGACATCATGAAATAACATCACTTATGATAAGTATACTTGTAAGTGAAAAAGACTGCTTAAGATAACGAAATTGCTCTATTTAGTACTGATGCTTCTCACAGGTCATGGTTTGCGTCCTGGAACTTGTATGACAGCACTCACTTGCAGCTCTTCGATATCCCAAGGAGTTGCCAACGGAGTGCTGGATGCCTGTCGAACCAACTAACGTTAGGTTCCAGTATCTTGGTCCTTCCTCGTGGTATTATTGGCTGTCTGTCTGTGAGCTTAAGGTGTTTACTGACATTCACATACACGATAGTGACCTTATTCTTAAGCTATTCGATTACACGTCTTATTTCCCTGACGACTAGCGTCCATGTCCAACTTCTTATACAATGCAGCGCAAAACGTCATTTGTTGTTAAAGGGATTGTTCACATTTATATCGGGTTTTGAACTGAAATAGCCATCTTGAGGATCTTTCGGTGCTGTTCACAATCCTGCCCTTCTAAAGACCCAGGCCGTCCAGTTTCTGAGCTACGTCCACGCGAAAATGGGGAAAGCTTTATCGGAAAGAGTATTTCAGTCATCTTGACATTCATGACGTTATAGAAGCGTCATTAGATCCTGCAATTCCACAAGCCATGCGGCAATCAAGGCCCATAAAATATAGTTGACGAGGCATCCATAACTGACGTTGGTGAGCGCGATTTCCATATATAACAGCCGTCAACTGGTTCTCGATGAATGTTGTGCAGGGTACAATGACGTAATCAAACCATGACGCATTTAGTAGCATGTTTGCTGCACAGAGAATTGTGCTGTCTGGAGCTGTCTTTTCCACTTACAAAGTATACCAATAGTTATGTTCGCTTGTTTCATCATATCTGACGCTTGCTTCAATCTCTTCAATTGTGAAGCATTCCCTTTAACCTGATATATCGTTGCCCCATTTGCAGACAATGCTCGATTAGCAAGACTTTTCCTGCGTGGTGTGTTGATCCTGTTGCGACTTTCTGCCAAGAAGTCATATTTTTCACCGTCGTTCCTCACTCGTTTTGTTCACACTCATTCAATATACATGCATAGTTTGTTATGATTGCACGCTTAAGTTCTGATGTTCTGTTCCCATTTCTCCATTATGGGGAAGCGTGGTAAGCGCAAAAAGGATGACACTGATTCAGAACCGA